ATGTGTATGAATCAATAAGTCGTCAGAAATATCAATAGAACCAAACCCATCATTTTCTTCACCCAATACGCCGTCTCCAATACTTGAAATCCACTCCGAAAAAACCTTCAAATCATAAGATTCATCCTCACTTGTCAAATTTTGGAGACGCATGTTTTTGGTCAAACGAAGAACAGTGTAATGAGACCACAAATACGACGAATTAATGGTGGCATTGATAACATCTTGTCTGCTACCATTAGTTATGACAGGGAGGACTTGACGAAAATCTCCCCCAAATACCACAGTCTTTCCACCGTACGGCATAGTGGCACTATTTTCTTTGTGAAATTGCATTATATCCCTCATGCTGCGATCCAACGCCTCAAAACCAAATTTGTGCAACATTGGAGCTTCATCCCAAATAATTAGCTTGCATCGTACAATAATTTTGGCAAGAGGACTACCCTGCTTGATATTACATGAGGAGTCTTCATTCAAACTAATCAGGATTGCAAATCGAGAATGTGCAGTGCGTCCACCGGGCAATAGAAGGGAAGCAATCCCACTGGATGCAACATTCAGGACGATCTCACCCTTAGACCTAAGCGCTGCCGATAATGTCTTCCACACAAAAGTTTTCCCAGATCCACCGTATCCGTAAACAAAGAAAACCCCACCAACATCGTCATGCACAGAATGCATTATGGTTTCATAGACACAGAGTTGCTCGTCTGTGAATGAATGAAACAATGATGTGTGCTCTTCAGCCATTGCAGTGCGGTCATAGCTCAACTCTTCGTATATCATTCTATCATTGGAAGAAAGGAGGGAATCAAGCAAAACAGTTGGCATTGGAGGGTAATCTCGCAAACTCTTTCCCCGACTTCGTAACAATTGTTCTATTTCAGCCAAAGCTAATTTCTCTAACTGGTCATCGTTTAGAATTAATTCTGAAAGAAAGATAACACTATTAGTCCAAAAGGTTGAAAGGATGGAAAACAAAATAAGGCTTTATAATCCAGTGCACTTTATTTAATGGGAGTAAGCATTAATCTTGTATAGGATGTGACCTGGATGTTGCAACACTTGCCTTCGCTTGTGTTGAATGTCATCCGCCATGAACCTCCAACAATGTTGCCAAACAAATTCTGGTCTAGACATTGATTCCGTCCACAACAGAATAACAAATAATATCCTCATAAAAAACGCTGAAGAGAAAAAGCTAGCTTCCTTGAAAGCATCAAAGAACTCCTTATCATCATCCAGCAAGCCCAATGCATAACACGCTTCACGAAATGTAACGTATGTCACGCCAGCAACAGTTCTCAAATCTTCGTGTGACATTACACCACGAATGTGATTCAAAAGGCACCTTATGTAATAAGATTCACCACTGCCCGGATGAACATAATAAATTCTGCCAATAACAAAGCCTTTTACCCTAGGAGCCCACTCCCTCGTCTTTTTCTTCCACACGTACTTCTGGGGGAACTCAGCATATGTCAAAGATCTATAGCATTAGTAAAATTTTGATTAGCTTCCATCCATGCCGTGAACATACTGTCTTTAACGGACGTTGCATTGACGACCGATTCCAGCGGTTGGTCATCATGAAAAACAATAGATTGTTCGTTGGGCAAATGAAAGCTCAATCGCTCTACTGGCGGGCTCTTGTATTGAATTTGAAAACCAAAAACCCTCCAAGCAGCCTCACATGGGGAAATGTATCTACAATCATAATACATTTGAATCTCATCAACAGGCTTCTGTTGCGATTCACCATCCACTGTCTTGTAAAAAGCAGTTGTTACTCTTTCACGCCCCTTGTTTATGTACTTAAACAGATATTTTATGGACCTTGACTGGTTACACCACTCTACATTCATATGAGCACCATATTTCATCAACAAATATCTATTGTGGGGAACAACAAACCTATTATCCAAATCCACATTGTTTTATGGATCACACGTCTGTTATGACAACGTTTATTCACAGGGTAACCGTCATCATCAACTGATGTTTGAGAATTCCATTTTTTGGGAAAGTGCTTAGTACACTTCCCATCAACCATGCATGGTGCAGACTTGACGGCAACACCACAAGGTCCATGCATCATAAAATCCCTTACAGCTGCATAATACAACGGGTCACGTTTAACATCCGGGATTTCTGCAGATATCACCTTATCAATATCTTCTGGAGCTGGCAACTTATCCTCAACAGACAACCACAACAAAATATGTGCATGAGGCAATCCGCGCTTCTGGAATTCTATAGTGTACACAACTAAAAAAGGAAAATTAAATGTTAGCAATTTTCAATAAAATGACAAATAATAAAATAAGCTTTTTCCCATTACCTGCCCTGACAGTTCCAAGTGACCTTTTTTCCTCAAATCCTGAATCAGACCATCAAGCTTAATCTTAAAAACTCGACTGACAACATCTGGGCGATCTTCGGGTTTAAGATTCCTCGCATTGAGAAATCGATCAATTTCTGGCCATCTTGGGTTACAGGTAAACGTAATGAAAAGATCCGGATAACCCGCCCACCTACATATGGCCATTGCATCCTGATAATTCTGTATCATATACCGTGCCCCTCCTGTAAAGGTCGGAGGCAAAACAATTCTCTTCCCCTGAGTGTGCGAATCATTCTCACCGCGTAAGAAAGCATCACTCAAACCCTTTTACATATTACAACGAAGTTGTTTCTGATGAGTTCTAACAAATTTGAGCCTCGCAGACTCAACCAAAGTGTAGCCGTCAACAATGAATTGTTGAAAAAGCCTCTTTGTCTTAAGAAGTGATGAATTATTGTCACACCGTTCTTGAACCCGAAATGCAATAAACTGCCTAACACTAACCCTTTGTCTGCCAGCAACAACAGATCCATTGGTCTTAGACAACAAAGTATCCTCACGATAACCGTCCTCTCCGTATGGGAACAACAACGGATATTGAAGACCAAAATAGGCAGGATTTAACTCATTAATTCTTTGAAGCGCTCCAGATTGAGTTTGAACCAAGATGTCCCGCTCGACCAAGGATTCATCAAAATCGCCCACTACCAAAGCAGCGAACTCTGACACTGAAAGCAAATTGTATGTCCGGGCATCCCCACATCGTTTTCCTATAAGCTTAAGCATTACATTTGGGGCACCGTCCGTGTCAATCTTTTGCTTGGCTAGTCGAAAGGACTTGACCAACACGTTATGTTCATTAAGCATCTTAGTCAAATCACCAACTATTCCCTCATGCAACTTCCTTGTAGAGCAACAACCGCTGCATTTAAAAAGTTAAATAAAAGGAGTTATACAGGAACATATTGGTTAATTTCACTATCGCATCACAAAATTCTCGCACCTCACAGATGAAACCCTATTATGAACTTCATTCTCGGTGTCATAGATATACAACTGTGCGAATTTTGGCTTCACACCGGGCGGAGGCAACAAACTACCAATCAAATGATAATTTTGACCATGTAACTTAAAAATGGGAGGAGACTTGCCCCTGTTCACACTTCCTTCCACCTTACCGCCCATCGACGTAAACGAAAACATAATGTTGTATGATCTTATGTTTTCTAAGAAATGTTTACCGCGTTCATCAGTATCCTCAATCAATTGTGATAACAATAGCGGCGGTTGTTTCATAACAGCCAACACGACCTTTCCTTGACTACAACGCAATGAATATTTTTGAGTGTCCTTCGTCGACGTAGAGAGAATACGTTTAGCAAACCAAAACAAAGCACCACAATACTCACAAACACATAGTGAATCACCAATGTCCCAATACTCTGCAACACAATAACAATAAATCATCCGGTAAAAATACATAATCTAAAAAAATGAAATTGGAGAACAATGCTGTCAAATCACACCAACTGCTCTGCGGCTTGTGTGAGCAGGGAGGGCATCATAGTCAACAAACTCGTCATCCGCGTCACTATCATCAAAATAACTTATATCAACATCGTCAATAGGAGACACAACAGATAGGCCAGACACTGAACCACCAACATTAGACACGGAAGATCGTGGACCAAAATAACCTACCATGAATTTTTCCACAACATTAATAAGACGATCAGTTGTGGAATTGTCAAAAGTTAATAAATACAAAACTTGAGATGAAATTAAAAACAAATTGCAAATCAACGCAGAGTTAGTTTCAGTCTTACCATGATAGATATACCTTGTTGTGGTGGGGGTGGAGGGAACAGAATCCCTTCGTCATCCAAAAGGCCTGAACCATTGTATGAAAAACCAAAAAGACATAAATTTAGTGAAACATTAATGGATAACAGTAAAAGAAAATAAATAAAGAGCAATATGTATAATTAGATGAGACTTCCAACTTTTTGAGATAAGATTATTCGTTGTTAATAAACATTTTAATGAGACTCATGGTAAAACGTATTTTGACACAAAAAATACGTAAATTAAAGCACAATAATTAAGAAAAAATGCAAACATGAACATAATTTTTCTTGAATCGTTAACGTAAATGGCTAATTTAAAAATTCAATTTTTAAAAAAGTATCACTAAATGGACACTTCAAAAGACCAATTCGTAGGCAAAAAAAAAAGTTTCTTAAGTAGTGCGGATACATGTTTAATCAGACAAAAACAAAATTGTCCAAAAAATAATTATCAACAGTTCTAATCTTGATTTAATGTCAAACAACATAAACCAAGTAATTGTATTAAAAAAAGAAGACCATACCCAAAATTTTTAAATATACAGTGATGGGTCGACCCAAAGGAAAAAACACAAATAAAATGCCCAAGCTTATATCCTAAGCCAAATACCTATTGCACACAAACGCCCTACATTCACGCCGACACCAACAACCTTCGTCTCTCGCTCTTACAAACTTCCCACATCGTTCACGCAAAAGCCATTCAAAGTTTCAAACCTTCTAAAAAATACACCGCAGAGGACCAACAACACCCACAGCCAGACCTCATCCCCTCTAAAAAAAAGCTTCCAACGCCGAACATCACCCAAACCCAAAAACCTATTTCACAAATAAAACCTCAAAGACCGATGAAGAAGCAATCAGAGCCAACGTCAGAGATAAAAGATGGTCTCCGGCTAGATCTAAAACAACGGCAGTCTCACTCCGGTTATTCCTCGTGGCTAAATGTAATTTTTGTCTTTATAAACGCAACAAACCGCCAGTTCGGACCATTTTAAACATGCACACACACCAGGTCACACAACATCTCCAACACAAAGTCTATGACGCAGGAAAGATGCATAAATTTTAGAGATTGAACGGAAAAAATACACACAGACCTTCATGCCTAAGATCTGCTTAATGTTCACGTGTTTTTAACCAAAAAAAGATTTTTTGGTTTAAGATCGACTGATCAAAAAGAAAATATATTTTTATTCCTAAATATTTACTAAATACAACAACTTTAACCAAATTCAATTAAAACCCTACAGATCTGAAATATTAAATCTGAAAGTAGATTTTTCTATTCATAATCTGTTTTTCAGAGTTAATCCAACTGAAAAAATATAACGGGTCATCATTTTTATCAAATACCTTGAAAAACCCTTTTTTCAAATTCATGGTATGCAACGTGTTTTTTCATCTAAGCGTAAAAGATTTTTTGAGATTATTTTACACAAAGCCTGATTTTTAATATCCAGTATTACATCAAGAAAAATATCCCAAAAACAACCCTGTAACATTTTTTTATGTATGCAAACATATATTCTGATTTATATTTAAAGTTTGTTCTGCTATAATTTTTTATAACACATTTAAAGGAAATTTTAATCTTAAATTGTATTTTACACAAAATTTTCACAACTAAAGTAAATCTCATAAAAAATGCATATACAAAAATAACACGTTAAAATATACGTAATATTTGAGGAATCTCGATAACAGTGGGATAAGTACAGACAACCTCTGAAAAAGACAACGAAATTAATGTACTGGACCCCACACACGTAGGTTTTTTCAAAACTCAATTAATGTAGTGGCCCCCAAGCACGTTACATTTTTTAAATCTCACGACACCAACCAAGTAAACAAACAATACCCACAATTTATTATTCCATCACAGAACAGACCGCATTGTTCTGGAAAAACCTATCCAACACGCACCAAAAATTTATTATTCTTAAACCATCCAACATTCCAACCCCCAACCACCACAACTTTATTATTTCAAATTCAAAACACAACCCACTGGCCCAACCACCACACATTTATTATTCCTAGATGACAAACCGACCCACCGGCCCAACTACCACACATTCGATATTCTGAGACCACAAAACAGACCAACCGGCCCAACCACGGACCCTAATTATTTTTTGAGACCGAACTTCAGAATACTGAGAATAGAACACACAACACAAACACTTCCTCCATAACATTAATTTTACGTCACAACCAACATATCACAATTATCTCACACCATCGTACACACAGGCTTTTGTCCAGTTCAACAAAACACCATTCCCATTGAAGGAGAAAGGCTGGTGCTACCGCAGTGCTCCCTGGACGCCAGGTAATTCTCAAGCTTTCATATTAAACATTAAATCACCTCAATGCACTCTAGTTTCTATTATCTGTTAACAAACTAATATTTTTGGAAATGCATGGGAGAAAACGGGGCAGCTGAGCATGGGTACGTGATATTGTGTTACAAACACAAACCGAAAAAAAAGCAAGCAAGATAATATATCTTAAAATACTTCTTAATTTTTATTAAAAAAATGTATTCTATTATCAGTTAACAATTTGTTTTTTTTGAAACACATGCAAGGAAAGTCGTGGAGTTGAACAGCAAGAGGATGTTCGCGAAGCATTAAACCCGGTAGGGGAATTTCATTAAAGTCGTGAATTTTTTATAACCCATATTTTCGCTATAAATACTCCCCTTAGGGGTAGTTGTAGGGGGTTCACAAATTCATTTATTGCAGTATTCATTGCACTTCTCTCTCTAACGTAAGAATTGAGAACAAATATGAGCCATCCAAAATACATAATACACTGAGATGATGGAATGAGTAATCAAGGGCATTTTTGTATAATTGTTTTTGGGAGTTACATGTAACTGACATGTAATTAAATACGTGTGTTCCATTTTAGTTAAGGAAGAGTAATTAAATATGTGTGCTCCACTTTAATTATACGTAGTATGTAATCTTTAGGGCCCTGATTTCAAAAAATTAATGAATGCCCCAACTTATTCAGATGCACATTTAAACTTTTTGTTTTTCACATTATGATGCTCTATGTTAGTTATTTAATATACTAATGCACAGATACAATCCAATGGTACACAACAATAATCTATATTACTCGTGATGTATTTATTGTGCTTCTTTTAGCCATACTATGTGTTATATACGAGTTCTTTAACATATATAAGTCTTGTGCTTTAGATACTAGTTCGTGTGTATTATATAATATTTTAAATTATATGAAATCCTTATGTGTTCGATATTAGTTCTTAATTGTTGTGTGTTAGATACATACTTTTTTGAATGAGATACTTGTTTCGGTGCTTTATATAAATATTATGTGTGAGGTACTACTTTTCTTGTGCATTAGATAGTAGTTGTTGTGTGTTAGATACATGTTCTTGTATGTGCGGTAGTTGGAGATGCTTGGTATGGTTTATTGTGTACATATATTATACGTTTTTTTTGAAGAAGAAATTATATGCAATATTGGTGTCATATGAAAGATCATACAAAATTATTTAATTTGATATAATTTTTAATAAAATTGGATTATAATTTAAAAAGTTAAATCAATTTTAAACTAGAAATATTTTATACAATTTGAGTTTTTATTTTTAACTACATTTTTGGAAAGTGGCAACCTCCAACCATTGCACTAATAAATGATTTTATTATAATTACCATAATGCCCTTTTTTAAAACTACGGTTGGTTTCTAGAAAGCAAGATTATTTTTCAATGTTTGCATGCCCACCGTACAATCGTGAATCTGTTCTCTTTTTGTCCTTTAATTTACTAAGATGTATGGCTTAGATTTGTTCTCACTTCTTACATTAAAGGATGTTCTCATTGGAACCACTTCCTATATATATATATGGTCGGGTTCTAATGAGAAGACATTTTAACGTGAGAAGTGAGAAGTTACACATTTACCTATTTCTGATGCACTTTTTTACTAATCTGATGCACTTTTTGCAATGGCAGAAAAGTTCCGATTAATTACGGAAATGCCACCGCGTCTAGCATCACTTTTTAAATATTTTTTGCACTTTCCCGTGCACTTTTTTGCTAATCTGATGCACAGATTTTAAATTGAACGCACCAGATGCATTCTCACTTCTTACGATAAGCACTCTTCTCATTTGATCCTTATTCTACACACACACACACACACACACACACACACACACACACACACACATATATATATATATATATATGATTACATTCTTATCGAGGAATTAGTTGAGAGACCATTTATCTTGAATTTCTCCAAGTTAGTCAAGTTTTAGTTTCTCGAGAAGTAGAGGTATTCTTGCTCCAACACCCAGTGTTGCAGATTCTATCAACGTATATATGACAAGTTTGAGTTCTAGAGAAGTTGTGTGAAAGAACTATACATCAAATAGTGTGTAAATCTGATTTAACAAATGATCTAATAGCATAGTTGGGTACAATATAATTTTTAAATTGTCTTAAGCCGTTATGTGTGTCATATCATGAGTTAACATTAAAAGTTGGTATTCGAGTTATGATTTTGTGTAATATCGATCATTCATTAGGTTTGTGTAAAGGGAAGAGTCTCATCATAATTACGAAGTGCGATCACATCTTAGAGGGTAAAGTCCTTAATGGTATGAGTGTGGGTCAATAAATTTTAGTGCATTGACTATCCTTGACACCATCTAAAGTTAGACTTCCATTTAAATTTCAAAGGAGATATATCCTTACAATGACTTCTGAAGCAACGACGATCGGTAAAAGTCAATGTCAATCACTCTATCACGTAGAGTCTCTTATAGTCTTATTAAGAAATCATGTATTTAGTCATGGACGGTTGTATATTCCCTTTCAAGCATTACAAACCGTGCAAGCCTCAAAATCCTCATTCAAAAGAAAGACAATCGTCGAAGTGATAACACCATGAATGTTGTTTTCAAAGAAGTGTTTCACATTCTCTAATTCTTACAATAGATAACACCAACACTTATAAATTACTCCCTCCGTCCAGAATTTACTTCTAACTTTCCTTTTTGGGCTGTCCCAAAAAATATTTCCACTTTCTATATTAGGAAAGTTTTTCAATTAAAATTACCCCATTACCCTTATAATTACTTTTCCATCCATCCCATTTATTACCCCACCCAACCCAACCATCCACCTTCTTTTATTTTCTGGCACCTTCTCTCTCCCTTGTCATTATTCCACCCATCCATATTCATCTCTTTCTCTCGCACCCTCTCTCTGTTCTTTCATCACTCCTTCCATCCCCATTTGGAAAACTCTACTCCATCTCCATCGATTAATCTGCAGTCATCTCACCCACACGCCCATCTAAAGCTTGAAAGCCAAGAATGGCCGAAAAATCGTCGGATTTGTGCATGCATGGTGATTTGAATGGTGTGGTGGTTGAGGACTCAAAGGTTTCTTCCGGATGGGCTGATTTCATCCTTGAGGCTGAGGTCTCTTCCGGCTTTGTCCCTGACTTTGAGATCTCTTTCGGCTTCGTCCCTGACTCTGAGATCTCTTCCAGCTTTGTCCTTGAGGCGGAGATCTTGCCGGATTTCATCCCGGATTCTGAGCTCAAGTTGGTCCCGGTTTCTGAGATTGAAGGGGGATTGAAAGGAAGAAAACGGTTGAGATCTGAGCATTTGGACCAAAGAGGTGAAGCCTCCAATGACAATATCATTGACATCTACCTACGGCCAATAGATACAACAAATGTGGGCTATCTTCTACATGCGTACGCTCCTGCTGATCCGGACCATAGAGTTTAAGAAAGATTGGACAAATGGGTTTCTATGTGGCTGCCCGTTTGCAAAAAATGAAGGTGATAAGTTCCACTTGTTGCATGCATATATGATTGCCTCTATGAATGTATTACTCTGAGAATTTGTAGTCCCTCCGTCTGTGTTGCCTAATGTGGTTCTATGCGTGAATGATTTTCACTTTACTGCCTCTGTCCCTAAATGTTCTTCCATTTTGACCGTGCACATTGATTAAAAAATGTACTGTTTTCCCAAAATGTTGTTTTGATTGGCCTTAACTAGTGGGCTAATCCTACTTATGCCTACTGTGCACATTCTTATGCCTAAATGCTTGTATGAAAAGTTCCTTAACTGATGGGCTAATCCTACTTATGCCTACTGTATGTTGCCTAAATGCTTGTATGCCTAGATGATGTTGACCTAACTGCCTGTATGCCCAATATGATGTTTTGATTGGCCTTAACTGATGGGCTAATCCTACTGGCAGTTAAGAAGTTGACTGATTCTTATTGTTGAATGTTGCCTAAATGCTTGTATGTCTAGATGATGTTGACCTAACTGCATGTATGCCCAATATGATGTTTTGATTGGCCTTAACTGATGAGCTAATCCTACTGGCAGTTAAGAAGTTGACTGATTCTTATTGTTGAATGTTGCCTAAATGCTTGTATGCCTAGATGATGTTGACCTAACTGCCTGTATGCCCAATATGATGTTTTGATTGGCCTTAACTGATGGGTTAATCCTACTGGCAGTTAAGAAGGTGATTGATTCTTATTGTTGAATGTTGCCTAAATGCTTGTATGCCTAGATGATGTTGACCTACCTGCCTGTATGCCCAATATGATGTTTTGATTGACCTTAACTGATGGGCTAATCCTACTGGCAGTTAAGATGTTGAGTGATTGTTATTGTTGAATGTTGCCTAATGCCTTGTATGTTTACTGTGATGACAGTGTCATACTACTGAGTCCAAATAATCCAATTTGCATTTATAGATAATGAGAGTGTCTTGTTTGTGTACATATTTTGTATGTGTACCCCAAAACTCAAATTACAAAATCCATAAACAACTAGCAAAAAAACCAAGACCCTGTCTATGCCCAAAACCCAAAAACCAAAATGCAGTAGCCAATATACCTTAGCCCTGTCTTTATCCAAAACCCAAAAACCCTACAACCAGTAACTAGCTAAGCCTGGGTGCTACCAGTGTCAAGTCCATCACTTCCCTGCCTGTTGTAGTGTCTGCTGCATTTGAGATAGGTACTTCCCCATTACCATGTAACAATTCCAGCACTTCCCTGCCTGTTGTAGTGTCTGCTGCATTTGAGATATGTACTTCCCCATTACCATGTAACAATTCCATCATTTCCCTGCCTGTTGTAGTGTCTGCTACATTCGAGATAGGTACTTCCCCATTACCATGTAACAATTCCATCACTTCCCTCACTGTTGTAGTGTCTGCAGAGAGGGAGATAGGTAGTTCCCCATTACCATGTAACATATCCTTTCCAATGTGAGGTAATCTGTAGTTGTTGTTACCTTTAGCAGTTAAAATCTCCTTCATACACTTCTGTAATGATAGCCAAACCTTGTTCAAAGTATAGGGACTCAAGTCCTTAAATGCTTTGGTCACCCCCACCACTAACTCTGAAACTGTTGTACTTGGTTTTGCTTGTTGTAGGGACTGAATTGATCTAAAAAACCCTAGGTCTAGAACACTTAGATCAGGACTATTGGGAGGTTGACATGATAGTTTGATGTTAAATCCTTCTGTAGTAGCCTCTTTCATGAACTCACTGTCATTAGGCTGTATATGTGGTTTGGCATTGTCTTGTTGGATGTAAATATCCTCGGATGCCTCAAGTGGCCACTTGGCTTTGATGACAGGGAACACTTGTCTGAGTAAACATTGTCTGTATACACTTTTAGTGACACTCTCAATTGCTTTTTCCTCTATTGTGCCAACTGTTCTGTTTTTGCTATTCCTTTTTGCTGCCTTGAATTCTGTGAATGGGAAAATACCTATTTTCCCATCAAATAAGACCTTTGAGTCTTCTGAAAATATTGGTCTAGCCACAACACACAAAACATTACTTTCGTGATAAATCTCTTGGACTTGCATGTTCTGTGTGGCTCTTGTTCACTTGGAGTGATATAGTACCTCTGTGATGGTTTAGTGATGTAAAACCACTTCTCATCCACATGGACAGTGTTGAACATGGGTTCAAATAGTGGATGAGTTGTGAGTGAGTCTGGGACAATGTGTGAAATGACCCATTCAAGCCTCTTAGTCATATTTGACTCAGTCAAAAAAGGGTTGATAGAATTTGTGTGTACTTTGATTTTACCTTGGCGTATGAGTGTGTGCACGCATGTTTTGGGATAGCCCATAGCAGATTCCAGGCTCCTTATGGTCTGCCTTTTGTGAAGATCTATTTCCTTAAAGTCAAGTGTAGGTAGTGGTAAAGGTTTCCTACCACTTTTTGTAGCAAACTATCTGTCAACATTGATAGGTACACCACCCCTTTGTGATTTCCTTACTTGTATCCAAATACTTGTGATGTACCTTACTGACACTTTATATTCTTCAGCTAATGCAGTTTTCAGTCCTTTGGTCAGCTTACCATCTATGGAATTAGTGAGAAGAGCTTGCAGGATCTTCTGCTTTGCTTGGTTGGAGAGCCTTTTTTTTTGTCTTGTTTCAACATTTTCTGAAACTTCCATGTTGTATTTGTGATGATGTACGACTATGTATGTGTAGGTTTATATAGAGCTTTATCAAATTTGCAGTGTTTAAAATGTTTAAGTTGGAGGGAATGGTTAAAAACTCCCGCCAGAAGACATGTAAGCCCAAAAAGGCAGCCTTTTCAATTTACTGTTCACTTTTATTCACTGTAGCTTGCAGAACGCCCCATCCCTCTCCTTTTTTCCCTTCAAGTGTGCGGTAATAAAAGAAGGGGCAAAAGTCGAAAGTCAAGGGAAAACAATGAATTTTCTTAAACAATGTGCCAAGTCAAAATGGAAGTAAATTCTGGGACGGGGGGAGTACAATTTATTTTTTGAATACTATTCTCATGTATGCTATTTATCTTCATAATTTGACACACTTTTAACATCAAATGCCAATTACTCACGAACAAATAAAATTCATGCACCGTGCATCGCACGGGGGCTATACTAGTATAAAGGTAACGAGTATTACAGATTGAAGAATTAATTTGCTTAAAAGATTGGATATTGTCAAAACTAAGATGCAAGAAAAGGCAATATTGGATAAAAAATGGAAATATGATACTCCCTTTGTCCCATTTTGGTTGTCTTAAAATGAATGTCATGTTTCTTTTTTCGGCAAGAAATATGTGATCCTTATCATTTCACTTTATTCCACTCAAATTTCAACCACAATTTTTACTTCTAAACCACTTTATTAATAATCATGTCAAATTAAAACATGACAATCAATATCACATATAGGTAGTACATATATTATTGCATCAAGACCATATATTGGTAGATTACGACTGATATGGAACAGAATGAAGTTTTGGAGGATTATTAGGTTATAAAATTTTATGACAAAGTTTGAGAAGTTTGAACATCTCCATTTTAAGAATGTATTACCAAAAAAATTAAATATAGATAATTTTGAATTTTAATTTTATTATTACATTATTTGGAAATATAGATTTTTTCGGTGATTTAATTGACTACGTTGTATTTTGTACTCCCATCTAGACTCAGCCCTATTAATGACATGTGGGTCAGCCTCACCCGTCCCCTAAGGGCATAGTATATAGACGGGTCATAGTATAAAAGCGAGGCTTGGCTCGACACATTAATTAAACAACCATTCTTGATGTACACACTCTTGTACACACCTTATACACACCATGTTTGTGAAGCTTTTTTTTGTCTGTGAATTCGGTTCACAGACAATATTTTGTTTGTGCAAAACATTGTCTGTGAATCGATGTTCACAGACAAAAAAAAGATTTCACAGACATAGATGTGTAAAAAAGTGTGTATAAGAGTGTACAAACATCATTTTTGTTAATTAAATTGTTTATATTGAGCCCAGCTTCATCACGTCCAAACCCATTAGTTTTGGATCCCTAATCCAGCCAACTATCCTACTGCCATGAGCGTCGTATAGTCGCAGCTCGCGCCCTCCAGTCTGTCCTCCTCCTCCTGACCTCCTCCACCTTGCAAATTCAGTCACCGTCGGCTGTCACCCGCCGTCGCTCCAGCCTTTAGCCTCGCGGGTTCCAATCGCGACTCGCTCCAGCCTCCAGGCTCGAGCCCTCCAGAATCCACGGATAACTGCTCCACCTGTCCACCAGGCACTAGTCCACCGCCTCCACGCCTCCACAGCAGCACAGCTCCACTCCTGGTTAGCCTTCTCCTTCACAATTTACAAATTCACAACCTCTTTTATTTAAACCTGGTATGAAATTCACATATTTATTTTGCAATACCTACGGTATTCCTTGCGGTTAAGTGAGTATTAAATTTTACAAAATATTGAGGGATATGTTGTTAGGTTTAGTGGATCTACTGGATTATGATATTTTATTCAAATTGAATGTCTTTATGTCGGTAATACGTAGTAACTCTTAATCTTAACAACTCTGTTTTTTAGCTTCAACACTCCCTTACGCTTCTATACTTAGCAACTGTTTTGGCTTATTATTCATTAAGACTTCCATTTTAGAAAACTTTGAATTTTGGGTGTTTAGCAGTTGTGTGCTAAGATTCCAAGTTTAGGTATAAGTTTCTATTTGTTTTAATGTTACTAGAATATGTTCTTTACAGTGATATTAATAGGGCCGGAGGTGCGGAGCTGATGACCAGGATGGCGCTAGCAGACACCAAGTAGCGTCTCGTTTGAATGCTGCGGACGTAGCGGGCGCTTTAGCGTTGGTGCGGAGAAGGTAATGGCGGCCTTATAGCGGTGAGTTTTTGGGGTACATCAGAAGGCGCGTTTCTGCTGGGGTTTTTTGCTTTAAATTTTTTAGCGCAGAGGTAAACTAGACTTTTAAAACAAAATATTAACCGACTTAAATCCTTTACACTTGCGTAAAAGCTCAAAACGGCTCTGCGATGAGTTCTTCTCCAAGAAAGCTCTGTTTCTACTATGCGATTGGTTCTTCTCCAACAACGACACCTGCTGCCCTCTTCTTCCTTCATTCTTCTCAGTAGTATCTTCTGCTGCAACATCTTCTTCTCCAACCTGTAGTGAGTCTTATTTTCTTCTTCTCGTATGGAGTCTAGTCATTCTACTGCCATGTTTAAGCCCACATGAGAACACCTTGACCCAGATTGGAAGTGGAACAGTTTGGCTGTTAATATATCAAGACTTAAACTCTTAAACTAAAACCTTCTTTTTTATTCAATTTTTTTACTTAAGATGTTTTAATCATTAATAGCATCTTTTGTTTTGCTCATGAAATGAAAGAGTATTTCTAAGTAATTTAGGATTTATGAAGGTTAAGATGTTTGCAACATTCATTGACATATATCATACTTTTTGAATTCAATATGTGTATGTAGTGTATTATATATGCTTCTAGTAGTTACTTATTTATTATATTTGAAAGTAGCCTAAATAGCGGTTATCTCACTATTTGCTATACCGCTATAGCGTTTTTGGGGCTGGCCGCTCCGCTACGCTATCTGGGATTGACAACACTGGTTCTTTAACGTACTGCTTACATTTAGTAATACTTTTGAATTTAACGATCATATACTATCTATGTATTTTAGTTTACCTAATTTGCTATGCATTTGCTATTTACAGCAACACTATCCACTATACTTATATAGCGGTTTTTAGGCTTTCTGCCATGATCCTCTATCGATAACATTGTTACTCTCTTTTACAAGAGTAACTGGTTACTCCCTCTGTCCCATTTAAAGGTTCCCACCGGTTTACGATGTTTGACTAACCATAAAGTTAATTCATCCATGTCATTAGTACAATTATTTTTAGTAATTAAATTTACATATTCAGAAACTATATTAAAACCGCTACAAAGCCTAATCAAGAAAATTTAAATTTGATAAAAGTTGGATATATAAAGTAAAAGATTAAGAACAATGCATGTTGACCGGAGATTTTAGCAAACACAATTAATTTGAAGTTAGTCTGTTACCTTTCAATGAATGATACAATGCTATGTTGTTTCACAAGTTGATAGGAAACTAAGCATTTATTCCCATAAACTCTACAGTGGCATATTTTTCTTTTTGTATTTTCATTCTGTACTGATAACAGTATCATTCGTTTTTGATGATATTGAAGTGATACTGTTTATATCAGGCACTTGTCTTTGCCGCAAACTGCAGTTTCACTGTGCTTATCTTCTTTCATTCATTATATGTAGCCTGCTAGATTGTCAGCTCAGCATGGTGGGGTTCAAGAATAGATACATGGTAATGGAAGTATTTTTGGATCCAAATAAGGATATTGTGGGAAAGGACCCTATTATTATCACACAATTCAATCTCTCAAATTCTATCAAAGATAGCATTCTTGTGAACTTTGGAGAGTGTGGTCTAGCCTCTTCGCTCAACTCATTTCAAGGTAAGTGGAACAAGATCTACATTTCAGATTTTCACTCATCACCATAGTATTTGAGTGATGTTACCTGTTTGATTGTGCTTTACATATATTTATGCTAAAGAATAGGATACTTTGTAACTTACGGGTGTCTACGTTATTTATTTATTGGAGTCCTGCCGATTCAAGACCCCAAAGGTAGGTTCTTTATCAGTACAGGACCACGTGAAAGATAAAACTATCATTTTAGGATCTCTATGATTGAAGACTATCAATCCAAGACTTGAAAAGATCACAAATTTTTACTCTTTTTAGTTTTAAATTTTCAAAGAAAATTGATTCATGGGCTACATATTAAATTTCATAAAATATTCATTCAAAACAAATAAAGAATGAAAATAAATTCATATTTTTTGGAGTCTTAGATTGAGAGTTGAATTACTTTAATCATCCAATTCCTAAACTGATACCTGTTTTCATCTATTACTTTATATGTCCTGAATTTAAACTCAGTTTTTGTCAATGCTTCATTTTTGGTGTAGTGAAGTATGTCAACCCTATAACAAAAGTTTTCATCATCAGAGCATCCAGGGAAGATTATAAAAGAGTTTGGGCTGCAGTCACCTTAATTAGGAATATAGGGAACTGCCAGGTGGTATTCAACTTATTGGATCTGAGTGGTAAGCTCAGCAACTCCTCTATTTCACTCTCATAAGATGTAGGATTTTTATATCACCTGCACTCTTGTTGTGTGATGATAATATAATAGGAAGTATCAAGGCCTGCAAAAATGCTGCTTTGAAGTGTGAAATGTCAAAGTTTGAGCACTATAAGTTGCTAGGTGGAAGCAATCTTAATGGAGATGTGGAGCAGCAGATGAAGAATTGTCTTGAAAAGATCAAAGTTTTGGAGCACTGAAATATACTAAACAAGTGTAATCCTCCATTTTTGTATTCATTCGTCACTGATAATTGTTGTCAACCATTTTTGTTCCCTATTCCCCATTTCCCCCACACAATGGCAAAAATAGGAAGAGAGAAAAAAGTGTTGATGAAGGGGGTACATTCTATTGTAAAAGAAGAATGTGGGTCTGTCACGCTCGCTATATACTATCCATATAAGCAAAGGTTTCTCAAGAGTTGGTAATATGGGTTTTGTAAAGACAGATAAATGTACAGGCTACAGGACATAGATGAAATAATCTGATTATTATGCAAAAATATTACCTTTAGATTTTTGGAGAAAAATATGATTAATTTTCAATTTTCAAAAACCAACAATGATTTTTAAACTATTATCAATTTATAATCATATTATTTTGATCCCCAAACTAATAAATTTATATTTTTTAATTTTTTTTCTATGTGGTACTACTAGGGATGGATCATGGATGAGACTAGGAGTGGATTCAGGCCGGGCCAACTGGCCCAGAACCGGACCGGCCCGGGGAACCGGTTGTTTGGCCGATTCGGGCCACCCGGCCCGGTGTGATGGTGGTTCGGGCTCGGGCCCTTCAAAAGGTGAACCGGCCCGGGTGGTTCAGGCCTGGCCTGGGCCATTTTTTTTTTGATTTTTTTTTATGTTTTTGGGTTGGGCTGGGTATTTTGGGCCATTTGAGGTGGTTAGGGTTGGTTTGGGGGTGAGGGGGAGGGTTGGGGGTTAACTAGGAAAAGCCAAAAAAAAAAAAAAAAAATAGAACCTAGGTTCGGCCCGGCCCGGACCCGGGGGTTACTTGAGCCGGTTCCGGGCCTCCCCTTCATGAACTGAGGCCTGGCCGGGCCTGAACCGGAACCGGTCCATCCCTAGATGAGACGGGTTGGCCTGGCTTGGGTGGGCGGGTACCAGTGCCGGGAGTGGGGGCCTGAAGTGGGTGGAAGTGGGGTGGGCTATGCGCCTTGCAAAATCTGAACCAGTTCGGGTCCATTTTTTTCTCATTCATTGACTGCCAGACGGGTGGGGCTAGGTGGTTTGGGGGGTTTGGGGTTGGGGGTGGATAGGAATAAATTCAAAAAAACAAATTTAAGAACAAAACTTAGACCCGGGCTGGTACCAGGCCTTCATTCCAAAACCCCAGTCTTGCCCTGACTCATCCTGGAGCCCGGCTTGGTTCATGCCTAGGTACTACGTATAAGTGTATAACGTATATAGTAATCCAGTTCTTCTGTCAGTTGTTAAATTAGTCGCCGGTGTGTAACAAATGTTATTTACTTTTGCTAAATTTAATTTACAATTGGGACAAATTAATTAGTGAAAAGAAGAGCGATTTACGTAGCTTTCATTTTTTTGGGTGGAAGTGTTGAACCATATTGATGCACATGTAACTGCTTTTCCTCTAGTTTGAAGAAGGTGAAAGGACTTCTGTATTAAGATCCAAATATCGGTTGGAGCTTAAAAATCATTCAAATTACACAGAAACTGGTATACGACAGACATTGCTTACCACTCAGGATGGAGCAAAAAAAAAACAAATAAAATTCCTTATGAGTCAGTCCATTTAAAAACACTAAATTCTGGCTAAAACGAGTAAAGTGATTGAATCTATTGACTTAAGAAAAAAATATATCTAAATATATCTAATAAAATAAAAATATATCTAATAAAATAAGTAAACAATTAAATGAAAAGATAACTAAGTTTTTAATCTTTAGCAAATTTAGATGTTTGCTAAATCTAGTTCCACTTAAAAACATTCTTACTAATTATAGTGGGCCAATGATATTTCCTCAAATAAATTACCCTAACTCAGCCTTCCGCATCTTCTTTCTCACTAAGCTTTCACCTGCATAGCTTCTCACGGCCGCACGCCTTGTGCATAACACATCCCGGACGTCCAATCTGCTGCCCGCTACCTGCTTAGGCACTTGGAGAATTGGCAAGCTGCAATTTCAGCTTGATTGGTGCAAGAAAAATATAGAACACTGCGATGAATTTATGGAGCACATTTACAATATAAAATTTGTAAATACATTAATGATCTGTTTCTTTTTTCTTTGACTCTTTGTATAATCCATTTCATTATTGATTTATGATGCTTGGATTCATTTTTATTATTATTATTTTTTATTTTTTTTACTCGGGGGGGGGGGGGGGGGGGGGGGGGGGAGGCTGGAGTAATAGGGGTTGAAACTCACCCCATTGAGTTTCAAACCCTTGTGTGCCTAGCGGGAATCGAACTCGAGACCTCTCACTAGGCACGGTAACCTCGCAACCTAGCTGGGCTGGAATGCTGGGAGAATGTGTTACATTTTTTGCCCAAGCAAAATATCTACCTCATAGTAAAAATGCCATGACCCCATATTGAGGGCCAACGTACTCGCACAAGGCTCATAATTTTTGAAGGCCCGAAAGTAATAATAATATGTGGACTTCAATTTCACATTCTTTAGTACGAGGATCAAGATGTAATAATGATGGTACAATCCAACATAATTCTTTCTCCAACTACTTTCTTTCTCCCCCTAATGTTGGGACATTTGATTCATTAAAATGACAATCAGCAAATCTAGCTGTAAATAAATCCCCCGTTGATGGTTCTAAATATCTTACTCCCTCCGTCCCAGATTTTTTTTCGGTTTTGACTGGGCGCGGAGGTTAAGAAAAGGCACTTTTGTGCTTTGACTTTCCACTTGTGTCCTTGAGATATTTCGGCCAACAAAGGGGATAATTCCCCAAAAGAATGGGATAATAAACAGTACACTAAAAAGGTAGCAGCTTTTGACTGCAACAAACAGTAAATCAAAACAAAAGTAGCGGCCAGGATAAAAAACAAAAAGTAGTGGCGGGAATTTACAATAATTTGTCCATTTCCCTCCCCAAAAAAACTATAGATTTCAGTCTATATCTATATATACGACCAAATGTTTCTCAAAATAGCTTAAGTACAAAGAAGAAGAGGTAAGGTCAAAGACATGGAAGAAAAGGTTCAAAAAAAGAGGTTGTCCAATGAAACAAGGCAACGAATCATGCATCATCTTCTCATCAACTGCACAAATGGTGGGCTCAACAGAGGAGTACTAACTGCACTTGCAACAGAAAATGATGTGTCACAAAGGTGTATCTCATTCATTTGGAAGCAAATAAAGAAATGTGAGATGGAAGGTTTACCTATTAATGTGGACAGACAGATGGCTGGAAAGGTAGGCAGAAAAGTAAAGATTCTACCTATTACTCATGTTAAAGAAATACAGTTTGATAAAAGAAAGAATATCAGGAGTCTAGCTGCAGCTATGAGATTTTCAAAAAGTACAGTGCACAAACTCATACAAAAAGGTGACTTAAAGGCACACACAAATGCTATCAAACCCTTTCTTACTCAGTCAAACATGATTAAGAGACTTGAATGGGTCATTTCACACATTGTCCTAGAATCAATGTTAACACAACCAGTGTTTGAGCCCATGTTTAACTATGTTCATGTAGATGAAAAATGTTTTTATATTACTAAAACCTCAAATAGGTACTACCTGCTTCCAGGGGAAGAGGAACCTCACAGGAGTTGCAAGTCCAAGAGGTTCATCACCAAAGTGATGTTCCTCTGTGCTGTTGCTAGGCCTAGGCTCTCAGAAGACTCACAAGTCTTATTTGATGGGAAACTTGGTATTTTTCCCTTCACATCATTTGAGCCAACAAAAAGAAACAGCAAAAACAGAATTGAAGGGACAATTGAAGAGAAGGTAATTGACAATGTCACAAAAGATGTTTACAGACAATGCCTAATCAGTAAAGTTCTGCCTTCCATCAAGGCCAAGTGGCCAATTGATGCATCTGGGGACATATATATATAACAAGATAATGCCAAGCCACATATAAGTCCTAATGAGAGTGAGTTCATGAAGGAGGCTACTAGTGGGAGATTTAACATCAAACTATTATGCCAACCACCTAATAGTCCTGATGTGAATGTGCTAGACCTAGGCTCTTTTAGAGAAATTCAGTCCTTACAACAAACAACAGCAACTTCAACAGTTTCAGAATTGGTGGCAGGGGTGAGAAATGCATTTGAGGGCTTCAGCCCTCATACTTTGAACAAGGTATGGGTATCACTACAACTGTGTATGAATGAAATTTTGAAAGCTAAGGGTGGGAACAACTACAAATTACCCCATATTGGTAAGGACAGATTAGAGGGGATGGGGGAACTACCAGTTTCAATGAATGCAGACACAACATCAATGAAATAGGTGCTACAATCATCGGAGGGTGTTAATGCTTAGGAGCAGGTTGCAAACAGATGGTTTTTGGATGAACAGGATACAAGGGTTTTTGTTTAAAAGCAGACAAGGCACTAATGTTTTTGGATTTTTGGGGTTTTGTATGTACTAGCTACAGACAGACAGTTTTTTGGGTTTTTGTCTTTTTAGGTTTGGGGTACAAATATAGATAATTTACACAAACAACACTGTCATAAGCTATGATAGCATCTTGTCTTATCTTTTGAATATACAAGCACACTTTCATCATTAAGGCATCAACAAATAGGACTCTCAGACTTTATAACATCATCACAGAATCCATAAAGGGCTGTCTTAAGCCTTCCTAGGATTAGCCTGGTTGTTTAAGGCAGTCCTCAATTAGGCAAACACTTTGGCATCAACAAATAGGACTCTCAGAATTTAACACAACATCACAGAATCCATAGAGGGCTGCCTTAAGCCTTCCTAGGATTAGCCTGGTTGCTTAAGGCAGTCCTCAGTTAGGCAAACACTTTGGCATCAATAAATAGGACCCTCAGACTTTAACACATCATCACAGAATACATAGAGGACTGGCCTAAGCCTCCCTAGGATTAGCCTGGTTGTTTAAGACAGTCCTCAGTTAGGCAAACACTTTGGCATCAACAAATAGGACTCTCATAATTTAACACAGCATCACAAAATACATAGAGGACTGCCCTAAGCCTCCATAGGATTAGCCTGGTTGTTTAAGGTAGTCCTCAGCTAGACAAACACTTTGGCATCAACAAATACGACTCTCAGAATATAAAAGCAATCACAGAATCCATAGAACACTGCCTTAAGCCTCCATAGGATTATCCTTGTTACTTAGGGCAGTCATCTCTTAAGCAACAAGAGCACACACATAGGCATCCACAAGTTGGCCATAACAGGACACATATATCAACATTTGTGCAAATGAAAACATGCATGGATCATGTAATGGACATCACAAGTCCATGCACCGACATAAGAAGATGAAAAGATTAATAAGTAGGGATGTACGACCTTCTTTTTTTGTAAAGA